AAAAATACCTTCTATGATACATGCCTGTCACTTCTCAAGTGTTTTAGCTAGAAAACAGATGTTGCTCAGACACTGCAGCAACAAGAAGCGCGATCTCACAAATACTTCCCTTGGCGATTCCCCACAAGAAAACCCCAGCTGCCAAAACTGGTAGAGCGCAAAGATGAAGAGGAGAGGATGTTAGGTAGTCTGCATCCTCCAGTCTCACTTTTTCCTCACTTTTTTTTTTTTTTTTTTTTTTTTTTTTTTTTTTTTTTTTTTTGCGATGCCACTACCAAGCAACACAGTTCTACATCGGATGAATTTTTGTACAACTACACGAAAGTTTCAAATGTAATGAAAAGCTGCTCTTCGATGATTATGTCTATTTGACTGCACCGAGACAGAGCCTACTAATTTGCAATGCCTAAAATACCTGCAAGTAGAAAGATTGTTTTAATGCACTGGTGTACGGTTGCTAACTGGCCTTGAGGTACATACTGATGATGGCCAGGGCCAATGATTTATTCCAATTTCCTAAAGTACATGGTGACTAAAATAGATTTAAGGCTGATATTAAAATGGGCAGTAAGATATTTTGCTAAACCAGAAGGTTAAAAAGCTTTTTTCAAAAGACCAGCTTTTTTCTTACATTGTTAAGGATTCTTCTTAATGAAGTTTCAAAATGACTACCAAAATCATCAGTTAAATGATACTCATTACTTATAAATAATATACCATGATTAATAATACATTGTGCAAATGTGTACACATGTAACTTTCTTAAACTTCATACTTCTAATGCAATAAGGGGGGTGTTGATTTCTTAAATTATTTCTATTTCCTTAGAATTCTAGATCCCGTCAAGCCTTTTCCCATTTCTAAACACTGAACATGAACCTGAAAGTCTTAAGCCCAATAACAATTTGTGCATGAATAAACTGCATTTACAGGTATATTAAGTATCTGCTAAGTGAAAGGACATTACCTTGTAATTTGACAGGAAAAGAATCCAGAGACAGTCTGTAAACCAATTAAACATAAACATCTGATGCACATTTTCTACTGAAAGAAAAGCAAGGGAAAGAAGAGAAAGGAAAACTTTAAGGTTCCCAAATCTACAAACAATTCTTACCATTAACTGCACTGTACAGTATTTTCACTTTATCTTAAAGATTATAAGCTTCCTCCCCCACCCCACAAATTCCTGGAGGGAAGTAAATATTTTAGCACAGGTATATAGTTTTATTAAATTAAGGCACTACTTTGAACTTTTTTAGAGTGTCAGTTCCTATCCAAAGAGTTCTCACTAGATGAAAAAAAAGCCAAAGGCAAAGAACAATGAACATGAGTGGGCCAGAGGTGGGCACAGGTAAAAAATAACAAAGGTAGCTATACCATTGTAATGGAGGACTTTGCACTAAAATATGAAAGGTTAATATATATGGATTTTAGCTGGCCACTAAAAGGAAAACTGAAATATTGTTGATATTTAATACAAAGGTGTAACTTGGTTTAGTTCCTTGAGTCTTTGGTTCTTCAGTTAAAACACCAACAAAAATCCCAATGGTAGCAAAGAACAGACTCAGATTCCTTGAGCTATGAAGTGAGTCCTCAAAGTCAGACAATCAAGTCTGCAACATTCTGGATAGGCACTTCTTACTGTGAATCATCTTTAACTTAACTGACATTGCCAATCAATATTGTTAACTTTAAATGGCATTATTCTTTGGAAATATAAACTGAGGTGCAGTGTTTTCTAAACATTCTGCAGATAAGGAGAAATGACTCTAATACTGTAGGAATACACCACACATTACTACTGAACTCAATATACTTGTCCTCTTGGCAATCCAATTGTTCAGAACTTAGAAGCCACCTTCAAGAGAGCTAAGTATTTCTGAGAACCCTTCCTTACCCCTTTGGTGTCAGATGTATAAGAACTCACTACTCATATATTCCTGTTGCATAGGGCCTTGTTGTCCTCTGTCAGAAGCAGGATCTGCCAGGGAGTTCCTACTTCCAAGCTTTTCCGCCTGTGTTTACAGATTTGCAGAGACTCACTGTACCTCTTGAAGAGGCTGCTCTTTTCAAAAACAGTTCAAGTGCTTGGCTCATTATTCCCTGTCTTAAAAGCCAGAAGCTGCTTCCTCACTTTCACCTATCATCCCTAGTTCTTCAGCACTCTATAAATTCACAAAACAACTTCTTTGTACTCAAATGCAAACTGTCAAAATTTATACTTGGGCTAAAAACATGTATCTGAAAGCAGGACATGACAAAGTAAAATGCATAGAAAATTCACCAATAACCTGATCAAAATCATTAGAATTTATTAATGTGACATCCAAAGTGGTAACTGTGTTTAGAATTCTACACTAAACTGTTTAAGTTAACATTAAAAAAAAAAATGTAACTGATTCCAACTCTTATGCAAGGTTTTTTTCTATCTCAAAATAAACAAAAGACCACTATATAAGGCCTAAATAAACCTAAAAAGCCTCCTTATTTTGAGGAAAATTAACATTAACTTTTACCACGTTAAGCTACTTATAACTATTCTATCTGGTAATGTATTTTTTAATGCCAATTACTGAATTCTCCATACAAAAATTAAACGAGGGCAGGGGGTGATAGCTCAGTGGTAAAATACTTCGCTAGCATGCGAGGCCCTTGGTTCATACTCCAATACTATAAGAAAAAGTTATTGACCAACTTGTAGTAGCTATAAGGGGCATATGTATGAGTGCATGCCTGTTGCCCAGCATGAAGGCATTCACAAATACACACATACTCTCCAGAGATATTTACTTGCTAACAAATATACTTAGGTTCACCATTATACTTCAATCAGTACCTCAATCAACAAAACCTACTTTGACAACTTACATTTACCCTATGATGTATCACCTTTTATTCATCACCAATACCTGGCTCAAAAACTAGTACTATATCTGTTATATAGACCCATCTGTTTGTGCAACTCGATGGGTACCTCTCAAAGCACACCAAGAAAATATATGTAACAATTCTGACTGATACAGATGAACACAGCATGACTAAGATCTTAAAATTCTCCAAGTCCATGAGTCCTCTTTGGAGACTATTTTCTGAACTATTTCCTAAAACTTTTATTTAGGAATGACAGCCTGCACTGTCAAAATACCTACAAACAAAATTTTTCTCGAATGCCATCTGAGACAGATTGAATTTATCTTGACTTTAGTAGTCAGAATGCAGTTTGCAAAGCACAGCAGCACATTACATCTGGAGGCTCCACAACTATGCAACAATAATTATCTTTTCGTTAGTTCTTTTATTAATGCCATCCTAAAAGACAGAGAGAAATCTGGCTCTTCAAAGAACGGTTTGTGCTCCTTTCATAATTTTTTCCCCTACAATTTCATTCAGCGGCCCCATTTTATCCTTATGTTGCAAACTTGTGTTTAGAATTCTAATGTTGCTGATGTTATTCTTATCTCACCCAATATCTTAAAAGGGTTGGCTATTAGCAGTCCTACAACACTAGAACAGACAGTAGTCATGCTTCTATTCCATGAGGGAGTTTGCATTTGCCCTCCCTTCATCTCCAATTTTGCCCCTGCCTACCAGCATCACATCCGTCTTGTCTGCATTGAACCTCAACCAGTTGGTTCTTAACCACGTCCGAAACTCAGCCAGGCACTGGGAGAATCGAGCCACCACACCATCTGGATTAAAGGAAAGAAAGCCTCAGTAGGGACTAGACAGAAACAGTGTTACCACAAGCTCACTCAGTCTCACATTTTCAAAAAGATGCCTGAGGACTAAGTCAACCGCCCCATGGCCATTTCAGAAAAAAAAAAAAAAAAAACCCAGTATCCCTGACTGCCCTGTAGACCAGCTTGCCTCTTAACTCATAGACCTGTCTCCTCTTTCTCCTATGTTCTGGGATTAAAGGCTTTGCCACCAACACCATTTTTAAGAAATGTAAAAGAAGGGGCTGAAAAGGGAGCACACACAAAAAAATGACTCCTGCAATTTGTGAGCATGCTAAAGATTAAAAAGGAGCCCAATAATTAGGTTTCCGTATCTCACCCAAGATTTAAGAAAGATTTAGTCAATTTCGGGTCATATCAGTTAAGCGGCCTCAGAAGCCTAGCCAGTCTTATCATTGCCTTCTGTAAAATTACAAAGATTGAGGAGGTTTAATGTAAGAAAACTGAAGCCCGGGGGGGGGGGGGGGGAGTGACTTGCCCAAGGTCACACAGCATGCAAGGACCAGAGATGGGCACCAGGCCAGGAGCCTCTACATTACAAGATAAAAGAATAAGGCCACTCGGAGGGAGACAGGCACCAGGAGCAGCTCGCTCCCTGCAATGCCTTCTAGAGTCTCTCGCCCCGCAGCTCCCTCCGACAATGGCAGGTTGACCGGGTAGAGCCCACCACCTCAAGAGATGCTCTGCCAGATAGCCCGCGCGACTGGCTGGGACAGCTGGAGAAAATCAGGGGCACAGAGGTGGAGCCACAGGGGAGAGGCCAGGAAGCCACACCCC